TAGAACTCAGACCCAACAGTAGACATACACAAAGTGGTTCAGAAAGTCTCTAAGTACATCATTGATCATGGCTTGGAAAACAGCGGGGGCGTTAGTCAACCCAAATGGCATGACCAGGTATTCATAGTGACCCCTGTGTGTGTTAAAGCCTGTCTTCCATTCATCCCCCTCTCTGATTCTAACCAGGTGATAGGCGTTTCTCAGGTCTAGTTTGGTGAAGATCTTGGCCTGCTGAAGCTGATCGAAGGCTGATGACATGAGTGGCAGAGGGTACCGATTTTAACAGTGATGTCATTAAGTGGCCCATAGTCAATGCATGGCCGGAGAGAACCATCTTTTTTCCCCACAAAAAAGAACCCTGCCCCAGCAGGAGATGAAGAGGGACGAATAAGGCCAGCCTTTAAGGAAGATTCATGTATTCAGTCATGGCCTTCTCCTCAGGACCAGAGATAGAATACAGTCTACCCTTAGGAATAGGGGCCCCTGGGATCAGGTCAATGGGACAATCGTACGGCCTGTGAGGAGGAAGGGAAGTAGCCTTACTCTTGCTAAACACCTCACCCAGATCATGGTAACATCTAGGAACTGAAGTCAGGTCGGGAGGTTCAGAGTCTGTGTCCAGATTAACAGAGATAGCATTAACAGTTTTCACATTTGGGTCATAACTTTGCTTTAAACACTTGTGTTTATAACTCTCAACCCAGTTCAAAACCCTCCCAGTACTCCAGTCAATGTGCGGGTTATGTTCTTTCAACCATGGGAACCCCGGAATAAGAGAGTGCTGTGTAGAATCATACAAATGAAAGTACATGAGTTCATCGTGATCACCAATAATTACTGTTAGTGGCTCAGTCTTGTGAGTCACCCGGAATATCAAACTCCTATCCAGAGCCCTGGCCTCTATTGGCTGGGATAATTGTTCTGCTTTCAATTTAAGTCTTTTGGCAAAACTCCAGTCCATGAGGCTCTCATCAGCCCCTGAGTCAATGAGTGCCCCAAGCCCAACCGTGGTGTCACGATGCTTTACCTTAATCTCTGTTAAGGCTCGAGAAGGGAACTCAGCGAACGAGAAACGGCTCACCAGTACCCTCCTGTCTATTGGCGAGCCCGCTCTTTTTGCTGGACATGCCACAAGGAGATGACCTTGCTGCCCGCAATAGGAGCACCTGACTTCCTACAGACGACGATGACGCTCCTCTGGGGACAATTTGGCTCCTCCCGGCTGTATTGGCTCCTCCACCTCGGAGGAGGAGGAGGCCTTCCTCCGTGGAATCGGTGATGGTGAGCATGAGGAACTCCGCCGACCGGGGGTAGTAACCGCAGCGCGGTCCTGATAGCGACCAGCTGATGACACTGTTTGGCTTCGTTGACGCTCCTGCAAACGGTTGTCGGTTCTTATGGCCAGGGTTATCAAGGAGTCCAGGTCAGACGTAGATCCAGGGGCACTAACAGGTCCTGAATCTGGTCAGAGAGGCCCTTAAGAAAGATATCGTAAAGGGCCGTGGCATTCCCTCCACTGTCCGTGGCTAGGGTCCGAACGTGGATGGAATAATCACAGACAGAGTCCATACCTTGTTTGATAGTGCTCAACTCATGTGCTTTCTCTTGGTCGGACGAGAGGGGATCAAAAGCCCTCCTCAGGGCCTGTTTGAATTCATCAAGAGATCCACAGATCCATGAATCATGGGACCACTCAGCCGTAGCCCACGCCCTTGCCCTCCCGGTGAGATGGGAAATCATAAATGCCACTTTGGACCGTTCTGTAGGAAAGTCTGATGGCATGTGTTCATAATGCATCTCACAGTCAACGATGAAAGGTCGGCATTCACCAGACTCACCGGAAAACTTTTCTGGTGGGGAGAGGTGAGGAGCCACGGCCCGGAGAGCCGGGACCGCTGAGGTTTCTGCAGCTGGCAAAGATGACGGGGCTACTGCGTCAGGAGAGGTCGGATTCTTCGTGAGGTGAGAAAGAACTTGATGGACTTGGGCTGCCAAGAGGTTCACTTGGGTGGTTATGGCTGCTTTGAAATACTCCTGACAGTATACCAGCTCCTTCACTCCACTATGCAGAGAGGACATCTCCTCCTCCTGCTGACTTAGGCGGGTGTCTTGGGAGCAAAAGGCTGCTGTCAATCGATCTGAGTCGGCTGGGTTCATGCTAGCCAGTTTGTACTGTCACAACTGAACTAGGAAGTGAACCCAAATGCACGACTCAGAGACAAAGTACAAATTAATAATATTTTAATAATAAAGTAGCAAAAGAAAGTCACTCTAACAGAGGAATATACTGTATGTACAAAATATCAAAATGAAAATCGTTCTTTGGAGGAAAACCAAAAACTTCAAGGCTATGGCAAAACGTAGTATCGAATTCAAAAACCTGGCGTGGGAAACGTGGCTGGCGTGGTTCTCTGGTAACATGACAAGATGAACTGGCACAGGACAAAGGGAAATGCAGACTATATACACACACACAGTAATGGGAAACAGGTGGAAACAATCAGGATGGGGCAGACAATCAGACAAGTGGGAAACACACAAGGGAAGGAGGAAGTTACCTGAAACGAGAGGAGAGTTAGGTTTTCAAAATAAAACAGAAAGTCACGAGACAGACAAAACTAAACATAACCTAATGTCTTTTCATGGACATGACATAAGGAGACATTCTCCAATCACTGAGTGCAACCAAGCAAAATTTAATTTCGTTTTCAGACACAAAACGGGAACAAAGTTCAGTAAAAGTGCACTTACGAAATATAAATTCATAATTCACATACATAATTCAGTCTTTTAATGCTGGCTTTGTAAGCCTGCCTCATAACCCTACGACATTATTAAAACCATTACAACAATGTAAAGACTAGCTGAAATCAGTAAAATGCACACCCAGCTGTGTTGTTAATGAAGCTGATAAACTTATTCAAAGACCAAGACTTGAATGGAAATTGCTGCCTGTTTTATTACAACAAACCCAACTCTTCTTAATCACTGATTTGCAGCATCATCTGCCTGAACCTTCATCTTCTTAAAAGTACAACTATGTACCCTTTGCTGTCAGCAATGATTTTGTACCTTTAAAATTCAACAAAGGTTCACAGTTATCCCCCTAAGGACTATTTCAGTACTTTACAGGGTACCTTTCTGAAAAATTTACTATGCGTACAAAAATGATACCCCTTTTTCTCTGTGTGTGCTATCTCAAGCTTCCTGTCAAAAAGCTGCAGGCAAGCCCCTCCCCTGCAGAGGCAAATAGTGCCTGTACAGCAGCATCTCTTCTCTGGGTCCCTGAGATGTGCAAGACGAGGGTCACGTGACATACAGGGGAAACTGTTGTAACACTAGTGCTAGCAAGCCTCTCCAGTGGCTTTGATAACCAGTATAAGTAACATTAGTAGAATTAATATGGTTAGCCTTGGTTGTCTGTTGTTCGAGTATCCTGCATTACATTCCCTTGACCTGGGACGTGACATGTTTGTTGACAGGTCTGCAGCTCCACGTCTCATTTGCATATTGAGATCTGATCACAGTCATGGCAGAATCAAGACAAAGATGAAACTTATTAATACCAAATGTAAAAGCCTGTGATCAGATCATTATCCAGATACAGATCACATGTAAGGGTAAAAGTGGGATCACTGTCAGGTCATTATCATCTAAGTACTGGCTGTAATCAGTATTTTTATTTGTCTGGGTTTGTTTGGGATCATATACCTACCAAAGTACAACACTTCCTTGTTGCAACATATGCATACTCTGGAAGAAGAGATTTTTGAGAGAGAGACAGAAAGGGATGGTAAAAACTTTATGGATTATCTGACTATGAGTCGATAGCCCACCGATGTGGCAGGACTTCTCCCGGTGTCTCTGATGGCCAGTCCGACTATTACAGACAGCTCTGTTGTCAATGTGTTTGTGAGAGAAAGAGAGAGGGAGGGGAGGGGCTCAGCGAATCAATGTGAATTTATTTGAAATTAGGGCAACAATATGCAAAAAAAATCATATTGTGACATTGCAGTTGTGTGAATGGTCTGGGTGAATGGTCATTTTTTATTTAATTTTCACTGAAAAAAAAAAGATGATAATTTGATATTTGTTGGGTCTTGAAGAATCTCTGTAGCTCCACATGCTTTATTTATAGTCTGTTTTAAAACATTTTACCTTTATCAAAAAACTGCAGTTCCTGCAATTTGGATATTGCACTTGGCCCTGTTTTGTCATTTCAATAATGTTTTGTTTATTGTTCAACCCTATTTGAAATAGTAAAATTTTAAATCAATAAATCAATATGTGGTGCTCAATCTTGATATTGTGGTGAGCCGCCACAAATAAATCAATGTATGGGAAACACTGTTCTTAAAAAATGACAAAAAATATTAATCAATTATCAAAATAGTTGCTAATTAATTTTCTGCCGGTTGACTAATTTATTACTATTATAAGTCATTACAGCTCTAATATTCATCAAAATAAATTTTCATCTAGATAGTGTGGAAACAGCATCTGTGATAAAGTATTCTTAAATCAAGGTCAACAGGTTTTTTTTCTATGTTGAAGGCTTTTCACAACCATTATATGTTGAGGCTGTGATCTCAGGAGGTTGAGTGTATGCAGACATGATATCATTCTGTAAATACCACCCAAATGTGAGCCGCCTGAATCCATGGAGGATTAACTAACTGTGACATCACAGGTTAAACAGTGTAGAAAGTTCTTGACATGAAATATGATAAAATGAGCTGTCTCTCTCTCTCTCTCTCTCTCTCTCTCATACCCCCTCCTAATGAAACTCCATGAGAAAAGTGAGTTGTCACCAGCTCAAACCAAACCAAGGCCCGCACCGCTTTAATGAGCACAGAATGAATTCCTGACAAATTTCGGCACATTGACAAGGTTGCGTGCAGAGCTGCATCTCAACCATTAGACTTTTTTTAAATTTTGTTTATTCTTGAAAAGAAGACAATATAGCCAGTGCCTGACTCTCTCTCCCTTTCTCTTTGCAGCTTTCAAGAAGGAGGACAGTGGCTTTGATGAGGTAGGTTGAATATTAGTTTTTAATATTAATAATAATGTTGTATAATTAATTAAAATATTAATTAATGTTTGGGAGCTCTTGATATCACTGGCCTTGAGGCCTGCACCACGTAGTAGTTCCCGCTAAAATTATTTATCAAGGTCTTGTTGGCCAGATGTTGTCAGAACAGTCTGCATTGCTGTTTTTTTTTGGATGTGGATCCTGCTATAACTTGGTGCATATGGTGTGTAATTCATTAATGTATTCATGTGTGGAGCATACTGGTTTTCCCTCTCATCTCAGAGATGTCCCTCAGGGTTAGTCACCATCACAGTGTTCCTCTGGCCTGCCAAATGAGACATCAGCACATGCACCAGACACATTCCCTCTGTGTGAGAATACCAATGGCTTCAGACTTGTGCTCAAGTGACTGAGTCTCCTTTTTCACATTTTGTGTACATTTTTGTCCATTGTTAATCCATTACAGTCCTCATGTTTCTGCTGTTCTATATGATGCAGGTTCAGTCTTAAAAATGCCCCCACTCCCCTGCCACATTCTGAGGGTATAAATCAAATTGAATGTATTGTTTGTTGTGTAAAGGAGACAGGTGGATGTTATATCAAGAACATTTAAATAAATGTGTTTCTAGTTGGAAACCTTTATACTCCAGGCAGTGCATCCGCAGTATAGCGATGTGAGATTAATTGCATCTGCTGTACAAATGAATATAATAGTATTTGTGCTCATTTGCTATAGGGGAAAAATGTGGGGAAAATGTAGGAATATTTGGGATGAGGCACGTGATATTGCATTCATAGTAGGGGTGGGCGATCTGGCCAAAAGATCATATGATGATCTTTTTGGTGTAGAATCACAGTCAACAATCTGCATCCTGTTTCCTCTATGGTTTTATTGTGAAAGTCCTGACTGGAAGTTGCTGCTTTGATGCTTCTTTCAGATGTTTGTCTGCTTGCCGTTACTCTGCTGTCTCCTGTTTACAAACTGTGTCACAACGACAACCATGTTATTTATGAGGTGCTACATGTAAGTGTCTTAATTTGAAAGTTCAGTCACTGCCTCAGCTTGCTGATTGCTCCACCGTGTTCACCAGCAGGTCTCTAACTGTACCTGTCTGGTGTTTGATGTTGAGCAGGTAGTGAGTTTATCAGAGCTTTTTTACTGAAAACAGTTACTTGCTGCTGGAAATGAGGTTGATTAGAGCTGTGAGGCTGAACCAATACAGATGAACGAACAGTACTGAACCAACAGTAAAGATGCAGGGTGTAAAACCAAAACAGTGTGCAGAAAGACACTAAAAAGCTCCACTGACTTGGGGGGAACTGCAGTTGGTGATAATTCTCTGAGAGTTTGCACATTGCATGTAATTATCTACAATAGTTAATATAAAAATATTGATTATTTAATTATATATAATAATAATTATATTTTCATTATCTCTCCAGCCACTGTGGGTCAAAGCCACTCACTCTATGCTTTTCAGAACATCTGGGAAGATTGATAAAAACTGATGTTAAAATCATGTAAACTTCAGCTTTGATACACATTACACGTTTTGTGTCATTTTCAGTTTCAGACTTTATAATGGGTGTGTATTGCATGGCCTGTCCAGAGTGGGAGAAGCTCTGGAACTCCTCTGAAAAATATTTTGTGAACTTGTCCTTACGGCCACATATTTCAGTCATCACACATCACGGCTTCCTCGATAGAAAAATTTGTCCTGTTTCATAGAATGTGTCTACCTTAACACAGAGACTTACAGAATTTGAACTTGAGCCTCAAAGCGATGGGAGTACCCTCCACCTCTTCCATTAACTGCAATACAATTTCAGGAGCTAATTTCCTGAGAAATGCATAAGTGACATTTTTTTGTAATTTGCTCCTGTGTCCACCTTTTTGGCTCTAGAAATGCCAAAATCAGATATGCAGTGCATGAAGATCATGGTTCAAATAGCAGTAGTTTGAGAAGCCCGCTAAGCCAAAATCACACCCAGATCTGAGTAAGCTCTGTGTTTTTCAGCTTTACACAGGCGTTTGAACCAGCTCGTTAAGAGACTCTTTGACCTCTTTGAAGTTGACAAACACAGACACACATAGACATACATACACACAGACATACACACAGGCAGAAAGCTGTTTACAAATTGGTGCTCATAGAGAGAGATTGAAGTTCAGACTGGACAGTACAACAGTAAATACAGCAGCAGACATATTGAATTTACTTTGAGCTTTGAGCTAAAGGAACTGTTCAACCATCATAGTAGCTCTCCCATAGACTGCAATACACACACACACCACCACCATCACCACCCCCACCCTTCACCCCCACCAGCCCATTTTTATCACTGAAGGAAGGCTAAATAACAGAAACACCTCTGTATAATGTAATATACACTACATCCTCCACAGTGATCAATTGAATCAACAACTGTCTGAAACTATTTTAATAATAAATTGCCAGCTGAGTATATTAGTTATTATCAGGTGTATGCTCAGGCTCCAAAGTGTCTAACAATTAATTGGTTGATTTCATTGCTGTTCTAACCTGGGAACTGATATAGCTGGTAACCTAAAGATGTTCTTTAATTTTATAGTTTCATCATCATTCATATTATTATATGGTTAACCCTCCCTCCCCATTTTCAAATGTAACGCAGTAATACTTTTACTCAGAAACATTTTAACTGACTTACTTTGTACTTTTATCTGAGAACATTTTTACACTGTGATTTACTTCTACTGATGTCTTTTCACTTATAGTAGTGGCCCGTTCACATGTTGATGTGCTGACGTCAGTGTGGTATCCCATCTCTAGTCAGTTTCGGTTACTGGTAAAGTTTATTGCTGCACTATCTGAACACAGTTAATGTTGCTGTTTTTTCATCACAATGTCTAACTAGCTGCTGTACATTTAAACTTACACTAGTTGTGCTCCAGCGCTTTCACTGTGCTGTTCAGATGTGCTAGTTACTTTAGCTTAGCAGCTTAGCAGTAGCTTCTCTTTCTCTCCCTCTCTCTTGCTGGCTTGGTGTGGTGTTGTTGTGACTTTAGTATAGGGGATTGTGATGTTTATTACATCTTCAGCGATGTCTGCTGTCTTACTTTAGGCACAGCTCCACTCGCTATTCGGAGCCAATTGCAAACTCTAACTGCCATCCCTGAAAATTTCCCTCAAAAAAAGTCAAACTCTTTTTAAATTCCACAATTCCCAACTTTAATTAACTATTTTATATTGAAAATGTAGAGTTTTTTTTATTTTTTCTATCACCCAGTTTTGGTCTCATTCTGATATCCTTTATGGTTTTTGAGGAAGTAATGTGAGTACCCTCAACCTCTCCCATTGATTGCAATACAAAGTGATTCTGATTGGCTAATTAGACTCAGTAATTCTTACCCCTTTAACTCAGGTATGAGAGCAACTCTAAGGCAAATCAACACAGTTTATTTTCGTGTACATGTGTGTGTGTGTTGATGTGTGGTTCTCTACGTGTGTGTACATGTCTTTCTATAATTGTGAGGACAATTTTGATTAAAAACCATGATTGTGAGGTCATTTTGGCCAGGTCAGTGTAGGGATAAGTCTCTACGACATGAATGAAACTGAAAGTAATGTCCTTTGTACAGACTGAAACGTGAGGAGTGAAGTACACTCACCAAGCAGCAGACAGATTCAAAATTTCTCCAGGAATTTTCTAGTTAATTTTAATGTCTATCTTCCCATTCTGGGAAAGTGCCTCTTTTGGACCCTACTGGACAACTGACAACTGTATATATCGACATATACTAACAGGCTCTGGGATGGATATATATTTATGTTCGGCCTATGCTCTGCCTCACGAGCCGGAAACCATATGTTGGACCTTTGGTTGTTTATCAATTTATTGGCTATCATACATTAAGAAAATATTAATATTAAAAACATTCATATTAAATAATAAGGGGTGTGTGTGTGTATGGGTGTGTGTCTGTGGGGGACACAGACAAAGGCAAGATGACCAATTCAAAATGGTCGCTGTGACCACATGGTCTGAACAAGGCCACAAGATGGCGGTAAACAAAGGAACCACCTTTTGTGTGGGGGAGGGATGGTGTGAGTGTCTTTGTTATCATGGCTCATGTAGTCTAAGGGTACCAGGTTAGAGGGAGAAGGTTAGCTACAGTACATGCATGTTGTAGAACTGAGACATACTACAGGTATGTTTGTGAACATACAAATACCCAATTAACTGTGTGACTAACCACAACCTAAGCAAATGTTACAACAAGACATTAACCAACATGTACATTATCAAAGGTTAAGAGTTCTGCTACTTAGCTGTGCTATGCTAGGTGAGGTTATACCCATTCAGTTAACATTACCCAGTCCTTGGAACAAAACAAAGAGGTCCTTTCCAGTATTGTTGAAGAGTCCAGTGAGTTGGGTGGCTTCCTGGTGGAGTGAAGTCCTGTCTGGCTGAGAAGGTTAGCTGGTTTCCTCTTTGTTCTTCTTACAGACTTAGCTGTTCCACACTAACTCTGCTGTGGTTCCTGTTGCTTGGAAAATCAGCTGGCACACTTTGTGTTGTAGCTGCTGGCACTGAAGTTAACTTGTTCACTCTGTGTTGAAAAGCAGAGTGAGGGAGAGACTGCTGTGAGCAGGCCTGCAGGAAAGCTGTTGTTCCAAGTAGCCTTGTGCTGACCTGGGGCTGGGACCCTGGTTGCTCCTCGAAGAGACGAGAGGAAGAAAGAAGCTGCTGCTCCTGAGCAGGCAAACGAGGGAAGAGAAAGAACAAATAAGGAGATATGGTTTTGTCCCTGGGGGTCACATGTCACACACTAACCAACACTAACTGGTCAGTGAGGTCACGGGGAAGGATTGACTCCAGGTGTGAACAGTGAGGAACTGTAGGGAAGTGAGATTTTGTCTGTAGAACAGAAGAAATGTTGTCTCCACCACCTTGAATGTCCCAACATTTATGTAACATATGTCTACAATGTAATTATACATACACAAGATAACATA